CATTACATTATATTGTTTATTTAGAGATTTATAAATCTATTATTAAATAAAAACCATTTCCAATGTTTATTTTCGAATATGTTTGGATTGTTTAGGAAAATTAAAAAAAAATTTTGTTTTCTTAATATTATTATTAATGGATGAAAATGTAAATAATCGATATATGATTTACGATCATCCGAAATATTAATTGACAATTCAATCGTTCTCAATTCAAATCTTTTAAATGATTAATAGTCATAACTGTGAACAATCGATTTATCATCATTTGTAAGTAATGTAATGAAGAGTAGGATTTGCAACTAATGATTATATTCATATTTAAATATGTTCTCGATATATAGATTTAAAAATATATTAAATCTGATTATAATTATCATGAATGCGATGGTTTTGCATTTATAAAATGAGGACATGTTGATCGAATGTCTTATGGTGTTAAATTGCATAAAGCAATGAGCAATTCTTATAAACATTTTATATTACAATATTAATGAAGGAAAAAATGTTTCTTGGACTTTTTTTTATTTAAATTAAATAGATTCTTTGTTTTTAGATATTGAACCATTATTTCCAACATATTTTACGTAAATAGAAGAAAAAAAAGATTGCGAACTCAATTGATTAAAATGACTTTACAAAAACGAGAAAATTTTACAATTTAATATTATTTATCAAAATGAACGACGATTCAAAATTTATGGTAATTTGAATTTTTTATCAATCAATTTCCTTTTTTTTTTTATTTCAGTTCTCTCACATGAATGTTTTACGTCGATAAATTATTTGTCAAATGATACTTTGCAATATAGTATGAGATATTTATATCGTTGACAATTAATATAATCTTTTCTTAGATTTAATACACAATGCAATTAATGTGTTTTAAAAGGTTTTTATCTTTTTATTAAGAATTTTATTTTTAAAATTCTTTTTTTTAAAAGAGTTCTTATAAAATCGTTGGTCAATATTAAATATAAAAATATTTAATTGATGAAGTAAACTTTTTTTGTCAAAGTGGTCTTGTATTATAATTTATTTTTTTCATAATGTAAATAGTATAGAATAAGTGAATTATAAGACGAAAGTATTGTTTCTGGTTTGCGCTGATTGTATGATATTGAATATAATTTGGATTCAAGGCTTTCGATTATTAATAGTTAAGTTTGTCCATGATTATGATAAGTATCAAGTAGACAGAATTCTTTTGTAAGTTACAGAAAAGCATAGAATTATAAGTTTACAATTAATGCAATAATATTGTACATGAATTAAAGAAAGAACAAGTCAACAGAAAATAATAAAAAATTTAATAGTTGTAATTCAAATACAATTAGTAAAGAACAAGAAGAATAAAAAGATAGTTGAAAGAAAACTATGATTAAAAAAAAAGAAAACGAAAAAGAAAAAAAGAAAGGAGAGACGGAAACAAAATTAATAAAATTAAGTTTGTTGTAACTGTTCAAAGGACAAAATAGGTATAGTTCCATCGAATTTTTTGATACTTTCATAATGTTGATTATCTGGACTGTATGCAATGTGAAATTGTTGATCAATATAGTCAGATCCAGGAATTAGTAATGGACGTTTACGATATTCATGAATTATTATATTGTGATTTAAAATTGATGCTGTGACTATAATAATCAAATGATCTGCATATGTTTTATTTTTCTTCATACGAATAATGTAATCATAAATAGTATTATCCTCATTACTGATAAATGATTCAAATGCAGAACTATTTTGTGTAATATATGCTATTGCATAATATCTTAGTTCGCGATGGTATGTCTGATTACCAAAAAGTTGATGAGATATAGCGCGAAAGAAACAATTACCATCACCAATAATTTCTATTTTACGAAGATTTAAAACCCTTAATTGTTCAGTTAATGAATGAAATGTGAAATCCCTGATCGATAATTCGCTGAGCGATATTAGTTCTTTTAGATTTGAGAGATATTTCAACTCTCGTGTACTTGGACGTTTATTTACCTCAATTATCTCTCTTAAATCAGAATTTTTTTCATCATGAATCGCATTGTCATTATTCTTATTCATAACTGGTACAAGAGTTTTACTTTTAAATCTTTTATTATCATCTATTTCTATTGAAGTATTTTTACGCTTATTTATATTATTAGAAATTGTAGTAATTGATGATATTGAGTTTGACGTTGAGCTTACTTCCATTTTTTCATTACCGTCATCTTTATTTTCATTATAATTATGTACATTATTTTTTGGAATGTTAACTGTTAAAGCCAATGCTTCATGGAAACTATAAAAGGTTCCTATGACTTGTTGGCATTCTTTTTCGCATGGAACAAAATTTAAATATGCACAATCAAGACTTGTTAAGCTGTTAGTAGTGGGTAAGTGTCTAAAT